AGAGCCCTTTCCTCTGCCAACGTCATGCTGTAGGGAGCCACTGTTTTGGCAGGAAGTGAGATAAATCCCTTAGTTGTGTGGAGCAGAAAAACCCTACTGAAAGGTCATTTTTTTTCTTTTTCTTTCTTTCTTTCTTTTCTTTTTTTTTTTTTTTTTGAGACAGAGTCTCACTTTGTAGCCCTCGGTAGAGTGCTGTGGCATCACAGCACACAGAAACCTCAAACTCTTGGGCTTTAAGCGATTCTCTTGCCTCAGCCTCCCAAGTAGCTGGGATGACAGGTGCCCGCCACAATGCCTGGCTATTTTTAGAGCTGAAGTCTTGCTCTGGCTCAGAGTGCAACTGAGGTCTTGCACTGGCTCGAACCTGTAAGCTCAGGCAATCCACCCACCTTGCCCTAACTGAAAGGTCATATTCACCTGCTGTCTTTGGCCTCTTTACAATTGAAAACCTAACCCTGAGACAGTCATGTAAACTCAGACAGAAGTTTACTGCTTGGAGGTCCCTTAAGAGCTCTAAAGGCCCTTTCCTCCTTCCCGCAGGGCCTAGGCCGCTTTACGCCAGGTGGGGGCAGGAGAGTGCAGCTGGTTGCTAAGAAACTAATCAGCACCACATCTATTTACTATAAAGATTTAAGAAAGGGAAATGATTTTATGAGTTAAACTTCTTTATTGGTCAGAATCCAAAAGATGTCAAGTTTCCAGCTGCTAAGAATGTATTAGATAAAAGCAAGAAACCATAATTTTGATAACTATGAAAAAGTAGTTTGTGATGAGCTGCTTAGAAAATGTAGAAATTTCATTGTCGGAATCCTTTGAAACTTATCCGTTTTCTTTTTCTTCCTGTTTCTGTGTCACTTTCACTGATTACTGACGAGGAAGAGAATCCAGAGTTGTGAAAGGAATTTCTATATGTGTAGGCATCAAATAATCTTAAGTCCTTAGGAGAAAGTAATTCTTGGCAAACATTCCATGACCATGTATAAGCAGAAAATGTGTCATAAAAGGACTCATTTTTAGTTTCTATCCCAACCAAATCTCCTCGGATTTTCTGCCAGAGGTTTAGCATATCCTTCCGGTGCTCAAGGGCAATTCCTAAATTATAGTTGTCTGTAGCTCTCTTCACCTGCAGTGAGAAAGCAGAAGTTTATTAGTTACCATAATTATCTTTAATTTATGGACCACAATTATAGATATTCCAAGAGTTATATTCCCAGGCCTTGAAAGTCACTGAGCCTGTACATTGGGTAGTGCCTCTTTAGAACATATGGGCTAGGAGCTGATGGACAATCAAAACGTATTACTCAGGGCTCACCCCTGTAATCCTAGCACTCAGGGAGGCTGAGGCAGGTGGATTGCCTGAGCTAACAGGTTGAAGACCAGCCTGAGCCAGAGTGAGATCTCGCCTCTAAAAACACCTGGGTGTTGTGGCAAGTGCCTGTAGTCCCAGCTACTTGAGAAGCTTAGACAAGAGAATCACTTAAGCCCAAGAGTTTGAGGTTGTTGTGAGCTGTGATGCCACAGCACTCTATTGAGGGTGATAAAGTGAGCCTCTGTCTTAAAAAAAAAAAGTATTACTCAGCAACAATGAGATAAGAATATTAAAAATACAATGAACTAAAATAGGAAGAAGTGTGGGATGGTAAACGTCTCCGGATATAACAGGAGTCCAAAGATGGGCCCTAATTCAGCCTGGGACAGGAAGAACCACCTGGGAGAAGCTGAATGGGTCCTCAAGGATTTGATCAAATTGAGGGAGTGAGTTGTCATGGGGAGGTGTCATAGGGAGAAGGGATAGCATAAACAAAAGCTCAAAGGCAATAAACATCTGGAGTTAGTAGGAGGGTATAGGGACTTGGTATGGCTGGAGTATCAAGTTTAAAGCAGGAAGGAAGGAGTAATGATGGAGGAGAGGCAGGCCCTTAGACTTAATCATGTAAGTCAGTGATCTCAGTGGAGGGTGTGGAGAGCCCTTTCCTCTGCCAACGTCATGCTGTAGGGAGCCACTGTTTTGGCAGGAAGTGAGATAAATCCCTTAGTTGTGTGGAGCAGAAAAACCCTGTCATTTTTTTTTTTTTTTTTGAGACGGAGCCTCAAGCTATCCCCCTGGGTAGAGTGCCATGGCATCACAGCTCACAGCAACCTCCAACTCCTGGGCTCAAGCGAGTCTACTGCCTCAGCCTCCCAAGTAGCTGGGACTACAGGCGCCCGCCACAACGCCTGGCCATTTTTTGGTTGCAGCCATCATTGTTGTTTGGTGGGCCCGGGCTGGGGATTCGAACCTGCCACCTTAGGTGTATGTGGCTGGCGCCTTAGCCGCTTGAACCACAGGCGCTGAGCCAACCCTGTCATTGTTGAGAGGGACAGAATCACTTTTAAGCAGGACAGTGACATGGTTAGACCTTCATGCAGCTGTGTGGAGAATAGTTGGAGGGCAAGAGCTCTAAGGAAACCAGGCTGGAAACCTGATGAGGGCCTTAATTAAGGTAGTGGTAATAGGGACAGAGTGAAGAGGACAGACTTGAAATATCTTTAAGAGAATGAAAGGGGCTAGTCTTGGTTAGTGGATGTGAGGAATGAGTAAAAAAGTCTAACTTAATGATGACTCCTGGTCTCATAGCTTCAGTGACTATGTAGATGGTGGTATCAACAACTGAGGCAGTGAATCACCCAGCCAGAGCCAGTTTGACACAGAAGATAATGAGTTTGGTTTTGGACATGTTCAATTCCTTATGAGACATACATAGTGGTATAAATCTTCATTATGTGGTCAGTGAGATAGAAGTCTAGGTTAGAGACAAATTTAAGAGTTTTTAGTATATAGGTGGCAGCTAAAACACAGAGCATAGATTGAGATAGCCCAAGGAATACTCTACCTAGCTGTTTTTTCATCTAATGCAGAAATTACCAGTGTTCTGCTCCAGTTGGGTCACTGGGATGCAAACTATTGATCTTCTCAAGTGTCTCAGTCTTTGGGGCAGCTGATGCCTCAGAGCCAGAGGCCTCTGAAAACAGCCTTCATTTACTTTACTGTGAATTTGTGCCATGAGGAGACAGAGGTTGGGAGTGAACTCTTTTTTCTTTCTTTCTTTCTTTCTTTTCTTTTCTTTTCTTTCTTTCTTCCTTTCTTTCCTTTCTTTCCTTTCTTTCCTTTCTTTCCTTTCTTTCCTTTCTTTCTTTCGACAGTCTTACTCTGTCACCCAGGCTAGAGTGCTGTGGCATCATAGCTCACAACAACCTCAAACTCCTGGGTTCAAGGGATCCTTTTGCCTCAGCCTCCCAAGTAGCTGAGGCTACAGACACCTGCCACAATGCCCAGCTAATTTCTCTATTTTTAGTAGAGACAGGGTCTTGCTCTTGGTCAGGCTGGTCTTAAACTCCTGAGCTCAAGGGATCCTCTGGTCTTGGCCTCCCAGAGACAGGATAAAAGGCATGAGCCATCACGCCTAGAGGGAAGCTCATTCTTGTGATCTTGTGCATGCAGCACTGAACATCTGTAATTCCATTTATCTCAATATATTCCTTCTACCCATTTCCTTCTCCAAACTTAGGGTAGGAACTGTGTATTTTATTCTGTGGCATCTCCTCATATAAGGACATCTTATTGAACAAATAAATGGGTCAGTATATACAAATGAAGGGTTGCGTATACTGAACAAATGAATGGGTGAGAAGAGCAATAGGATGGGACGACAAAACTAGGAAATATCAATCCTTAAAGAATAAACATTCAGGCAAGAGAAGAGGGAGGAAAGAACACAGAGCTACAAGGAGCAACAAAGATGCAGTATTGGAAAGGCCAAGGAAGTAGAATTATCTGGGAGAGCTGGATTATTAGTATCAAATGCAGAGGGAGGTGCTGTAAAATAGATAACATCCCTGTCTATCTTTGTAGGGTACAAAGTTTGCTGAGAAGTCAGGGCACAAAAGTAGCTTTATGGTTAAAAGTGTGTATTCCAGCCAGGCGCAATGGCCCACTCCTATAATCCTAACACTTTGGGAGGCTAAGATGTCAGTATTGCTTGAGATAAGGAATTCGAAATAAGCCTGAGCAAGAGTGAGACACCCCTCTCCTCCTTTCTCTACCAAAAATAGAAGAAATTAGTCAGACGTGGTGGCCTATGCCTAGTCCCAGCTTCTATAGAGGCCGGATGCAGTGGGAGGCCGAGACCAGTGGATAGCCTGAGCTCACAGGTTTGAGACCAGCCTGAGCAAAAGGCAAGACCCTGTCTCTACTAAAAATAGAAAAACTGAGGCAAGAGGATCACTTGAGCCTGAGCTGGAGGTTGCTGTGAGCTATGATATAACAACAGTCTACCCAGGGCAACAGTGTGAGACTTTGTCTCAAAAAAAAAAAAAGAAAAAAAAGAGTCTGAGACAGGAGGATTGCTTGAGCCTAGGAGTTTGAGGTTAGAGTAATAATGACACCACTGCATACTAGCCTAGGAGCAGAGTGAACCCTTGTCTCAAAAAAGAAAAAAAAACAAAAAACCCAACCCCCCCCCCTTTTTCTTTGGAAACAGTCTCACTTTGTCATCCTTGGTAGAGTGTCGTGGCATCATAGCTCACAGCAACCTCAAATTCCTGGGCTTAAGTGATTGTCTTGCCTCAGCCTCCCAAGTAGTTGGGACTACAGGAGCCTGCAACAATACCCAGCTATTTTTAGAGATGAGGTCTTGCTCTGCCTCAGGTTGTTCTCGAACCTGTGAGCTCAGGCAATCCACCTGCCTTGGCCTGCCAAGTGCTGGGATTATAGGTGTGAGCCAATGCACCCGGCCAAAAAGTGTATATTCTTGAACCATATTTCCCATGTTTATAATTCTTATTACATATTAGCTATGTATTTTTGGCAAATCACTTAACCTCTCTGTGCATCTCTATGAAATGACAAGAAATGATAACAGTGCCTCGCTTAAGGTGGTGTTGTGATAATCAAATGAATCAGCACTGTGTATCACTTGCAAAGCACAATGGCTAATACTTAGGAGCTATTATTATCATTGTTTTAGCTGCTGTAATAAAGATGCTTTCACTCACCACTATTCTCTGAGTACACCCCTCACAGTAACTGTTGTTTACTACCTTAGTGTGCTATTTCCAGGATGAAGCAAATGAATGTTTCAGAAGTGAGGCTGGGTATAGCTGCATAAGTGATTACCAGGATGAAATTATAACGCTTAACATTAGAATCCATTTGATGGTGGAGCCAGAAATGTTGTCATTACAATGGGTTAAAATAAGAAACAATCTTGTCTCATTTTGAAAGCATAGAGCAGATAAAAATTCTCTTGGTTTCATGGTGTAGTGATGAAGTAGAAAATACTTTTTCAGTGCCTCGTATGAAGGGATTCAGCAGTGAATACTCACCTGGTGTTTAATAGCAGCTGCATCAGCCACTGTCCAAGTCTGCTTTTTCTTGAACATTTGAGCAATTTCGAGGAGGTCATCTGAATAGCCGGAGGCAGGGTCTATAGGCTTTGCATTTGGTGCCTTTATGCATATTTACAAAAGAAGGTTAGTAATATGTTTCAGTTTGAATTAGGCAACAACAAAGCTATAATAAACAAATAAATTTTATTATGAAAAGATTCGTATATAATTTATAAGGTTATTACTACACTACTGTCAATTGTTTTGGAGCACCTAGGAGAGCACCGTGTGTAGATAGGTATTTGGTAAATTCCCATTAATAATGATGAAGCCTTGTCCTAAGAGACCTACAGACCACTTGGTTTTCTTTCTTTCTTTTTTTATTTTGAGAGACAGAGTCTCACTTTATTGCCCTTGGTAGAGTGCCATGGCGTCACAGTGCACAACAACCTCCAACTCTTGGGCTTAAGCGATTCTCTTGCCTCAGCCTCCTGAGTAGCTGGGACTACAGGTGCCCGCCACAGTGCCGGGCTATTTTATGTTGCAGTTTGGTAGGGGCCGGGTTTGAGCCCACCACCCTCAGTATATAGGGCTGGCGCCCTACCCACTGAGCCACAGGTGCTGCCCTAGACTGCTTGATTTTCATGTGGAAAGGATATGGAGGAGCCAACACCATCATGACCCCAACTTTCCAAGCCATCAAAAAGCACCAAAAATGACTATGGTTTCCATAGAGTACAACCTCTGTTACTCTCAAACTTCCCCTGGGAACTAGCCATCTCTTTCCCCTGTTCCTGGGCTGGTGAACAATGCTGATGAAAATCATGTAAATATGCTGATTGCTTTCATGCATATTTCCTTTTCTTCATTTGCTGTTAACTCTATTGCCATCAAGGCAGGGTGCAGTGGCTCATGCTCATGCCTGTGATCTTAGCACTCTGGGTGGCCTAGGTGGGTGGATTGCCTGAGCTCAGGGATTCAAGACCAGCCTGAGCCAGAGCAAGACCTCATCTCTAAAAATAGCCAGGTGTGTGGCAGGCATCTTTAGTCTCAGCTAAATTGGGGGGCTTAGGCAAGAGGATACCTTAAGCCCAAGAGTTTGAGGTTGATGTGAGCTATTATGCCATGGAACTCTACTGAGGGCGACAAAGTGAGACTATCTCAAAAAAAAAAAGAAAGAAAGAAAACAAAAAGTTCTATTACCATCCTCATAGCGGCTGTTGGAAAACCAAACCTTCCAAATCTCTCAGCTGGTGAGATATCTCTTTAAAGCTATCTAATATGAATTCTCTTCACTTTTCTTTCTGTCTTAGGATTTCTCCATCCTTTAGCTAATTTTCTCTCCTTCCCTCTCAAGTGTAGGAGATCTTAACTTCGGTTTTCCTCTCTCAAGGGCTGGGCTTCTGGGTATTTGGCTTGTGCAGTTAGCCAGTCCTCTTTCTTACTAGGAGGGCCCTACGTCTGGCTTAATGTTTTGCTATTGCTGTCCTGAAATTACTTTTTTTTGAGACAGAGTCTCACTCTGTTGCTCCAAAGTAGTGTGCTGTGGAGTCATAGATCACAGCAACCTCCAACTCTTAGGCTCAAATGATCCTCTTGCCTCAGACTTTCGAGGGCTGGCACTATAGGTGGCCCACCAAGGACACTCAGCTAGTTTTAGAGACAAGGGTCTTGCTCTTGCTCAGGCTGGTCTTGAACTCCTGAGCTCAAGGAATCCACCTGCTTTGACCTCCTGAACACCTGGCCTGCTATCTTAAAATTCTTGATTATTTGCAAGCAAAGGACTCTACATTTTTATTTTTCACTGGGCCCTGAAAATTATATAGTCAGTCCTGTCTCTCTCTCCTATATTAAATTTTTCTTTCCCTTGAGGAGTGGTTTTTAGCCCTGGCTGCATGTTGGAACTTTAAAAAATACTGACACCTGGGTCCCACCATAGACTACTGATTTAATGAGACATGGTGGTAGCTTTTTTTTTTTTTCCCATACTAAGACCCTGGGACTTCATTATTTTTTGAGACAGAGTCTCACTTTGTTGTCCCAAGCTAGAGTGCTATGGTGTCAGCCTAGATCACAGCAACCTCAAACTCCTGGGTTTGATTGATCCTCCTGCCTTAGCCTCTGAAGTAGCTGGGACTACAGGTGCCCACCACAATGCCTAGTGCTATATATATATATAATATATATACATATGTCATATTATATATATATATGTCATATTATATATATATATATATTTTTTTTTTTAGTAGACATGAGGTCTCACTCTTGCTCAGGCCAGTCTGCACTGGGCACAGGGTTTTTAAAAAGCTCTCTTAAGTGATTCTATTATGCAGCTAAGATTGAGACAGCTTTAAAGGTCCTTCCTCCTGTCTACAAATATGCTTAAGTGTTTCAAGTCCCAAAATAACTTTGCTAGATACTGATTCTACAGTAAGTATTAGTTACACTTCACTCTTTCTTTCTTCTTTTTTTCTTTCTCTCTCTCTCTGTTTTTTTTTTTTTTTTTTTTTGAGACAGAGTAACTCCATGGTCATAGGCTGAGTGCTGTGATATCATAGCTCAGAGCAACCTCAAATTCTTGGGTTCAAGTGATCTCTTGCCCCAGCCTCCAGGGTAGCTGGGACTACAGGCACCCGCCACATTGCCAGCTAGCTTTTCTATTTTTAATAGAGACAGTCTGGTTCTTGTTCAGGTTCGACTCAAACTCCTGAGGTAATCCATCTGCCTCAGCCTACTGGAGTGCTAGGATTATAGGTGTGAGTCACCATGCCCCACCTACTTTTTCTTAATAGGGATTGATTTACTTATTTTTGTCTGCTTTATCAATTTCTGGAGTTTCTAGATAAAATCTCCCACTGTGATTATGGATTTGCTTGTTCATTTAATAACTATCAGAGGCTGAGCATGGTAGCTCATGCCAGTAATCCTAGCACTCTGGGAGGCTGAGCTGGGTCGATTGCCTGAGCTCAAGGTTGGAGACCAGCCTGAGCCAGAGCGAGACCTCATCTCTAAAAATAGCTGGGTGTTGTGGCAGGCACCTATAGT